GGTGGTTTGGAGTTGTTAACCAATCCACATAATTAATCTTATTTTTATTAATACAATATTGGGTAGTAATAGTCCTCTTCAAAATTTAATATTTTATGAAAATATTCTTGAAGACTTTTTATATTTTATGAAAATATTCTACCTAATATTATTATTTTATACTAAAATGTTTAGTATAAATATGGACATATTTGATGTTAAATTTTGCTAAGTTTTTGAGCTAAATTCTTCCAAGAGAAAATTCATTCAAAGAGTTGAGTGATAATACAAGAAAGTGTTCTTGAAAAATTTCCTTATAAATATATATTCCATGCTTATTGAATAAAATCGAGTAGTTTCTACTACCAAAGGAACTATTGTCGGAACCGGACTTCAAAAGGTGGATACGATTAGAGGGAAGACATTTGGATTCCTAAAGTGAGTAAAAACAAGAAGTGATCGTTACCAAACCGGGAATTGATTTCCTCATACATCGTCGGTTTTGAAGGAGTTCAAGAATAAAGGTAATTTTTATAAATTACATAAAAAGTTACTAGATTTTAAATGATGCTTATTCGTTATCTCGTTATACTTATGTACGGAATAAGTATTTATAAGATAAATACTTATAAAATTTTAAATTTCGCTGCAAACTCTGTTCCGTACGGTGTATCGAACCCAACAGTGGTATCAGAGCCGCGTTACAATTTGCATCTTCACAATCAGATTTTGATTTGAAAATTTGTTAAAAACACGAACTGGAATAAAAATCGAATAGAGTATTCGAAAACATGAGTCGTGAAGGATGACACGACTCGTGTGACCGGTCGTGTAGGGTCACACGACCCGTGTGAGAAGTCACACGAGTCGTGTGACTGGTCGTGTCACCTCACACGAGTCGTGTGAGGTGTGACACGAGTCGTGTGACATAAAATTCTTCCAAGTTTTTCCAATGTCACTCTCGCATTTGTCACACGAGTCGTGTGAGTTAGTCACATGAGTCGTGTGACATGCCACACGAGTCGTGTGACATGCCACACGAGTCGTGTGACATGCCACACGAGTCGTGTGACTTGTCACACGAGTCGTGTGACTTATTTTTTATCAGAAACGAGGTGTTTTGACTTAATATGAGTCATTGCTACATCAACCTATTAAATTGGTGAATTTATATGGTTGAATTCATGTGATGAATGGTTAATTTAGGGATGATCATGAGCCTTTATTCATAATGAATGTATGATTTGCGTTTTATTCAATATGACTGAATGTTTGCATGTTTTATTCAATATGATTGAATGTTGTATTTTATTCAATGAGATTGAACGAATGTAATTTATCGAGACCTGTGAGTCTCTTGAATTATGATTTGTAAAATTTTAAATTTTTGTATCGTTAGAAAGATTAGATCAAGGTGGAGACCGTTCGATGCAAAAAGGCCCACGCATGTGTGGGTAATTTTACAAGTTGTAAATTTTGAAGGCCTGTGCATGTACGGGTAGATAAAATAAATTGTAATAGAAGTAGTTCTACTTATTTTATCACGCACATAGGCATAGACCCATTTTGGCTCGAATGGGTCGGATAGGCAAGGTCATGATCATCCCACCGTATGCATGCATTAGATGTATGTTAGGTTTATTTATGCTTGTGATTCATGCGATGAATAATGCGGTAAATAAACACACGTAAAGATGGTAATTGATGAGATCTAAGGAACCCTAAAGAATTAATTTGATTAATTTTATATCAAATCAATAACGGATAAAAATAAGTTGGAACTTATTAATCCAGGCCTTCATCAAAAGTAGACGACATAAGATGCTACGATGCTTTATCACCGACCATGAGTCGTGGGGTGGTTTTGTGTCGAAAGTTGTGATCCCTACTAAGTATGATGATACTCGTGAGGTGGATTCCTCTTTATGTTGACCATGAGTCGTGGGACATTCTGGTGGGCCACTATCATGAATGTTTGATGGGTTTGATTTGACACTTAGTAATATATACGGTCATAAAATTGAGGTATATAAGGAAAAGTGAGGCAAAACATCTTGAAGGTTGTATAATGATATAATTGTCAAAAGTTGACTACCGATATAAATGTTTCATGCGTACTCATAAAATTGAGATATGGAATATTTTTATNGGACTTCAAGCCCACTATGAAAATTAGATTTTCATAATTAAAATAGGAGTTTTAATTAAAATAGTGGGAGACATTTAATGTTAAAGACCTAATATTAAATGAATATAAATTTTATAGTCTAATTATTTTCTGCTTCGGTTGGTGTTTTTGTAGATCAGTCTACTAAAATAGTTAAAAATCCAATTGCAAGTATTCTTGAGCAAAACAAATTAACGGAACCCAATTTTAATAAATGTTATCATTGTGGTAAGATTGGGCATTGGAAGAGGAACTGCAAGGAGTATCTTGCAAGCCTGAAAAGTTCAGGCATTTATTTTGTTGAAGTTAACTTATCAGTAAACGATTCTTCTTGGGTATTAGATACCGGTTGTGGCTCACATATTTGCAATGATTTGCAAATGATGGCAAGAAGAAATAAGCTAGAAAATGGAGAAACAATCCTAAGGATGGGCAATGGAGCAAAAGTTGTTGCCAAAGCAATTGGGACTGTTTATCTAACTTTAAATAATGATGTAAAAATTTGTCTTACAAATTGTTTGTATGTTTCGGATGTTATAAGAAACATTATTTCTATTCCAGTAATGGATAGAGAAGGTTTTAAGTTCGTTATTGAGAATGGAAGATGTTCCATTTTCAAAGATAAAACTTTTATATATTCTGGAAATTTGACAAATGGGTTATATACCATTACACCACAAAGTCCCATTCTAACCATTCAACAAAATAAAAGGAAATTTGATAATCATAGTTCATTCAAAATTTGGCATGCTAGATTAGGTCATATATCTGAAAAGAAAATTCACAAATTAGGACCAAAACTCGACCTTAGGGGAGAGGAAAGGTTGCCTACATGTGAATCATGTCTTAAAGGTAAAATGACTAAATCACCATTTGTTGAACAAGTGGAGCGAGCTAAAGGTCTGTTGGATTTGATCCATACAGATGTTTGTGGACCACTAAATGTTAGTGCCAAGGGGAACTACTACTATTTCATAACTTTTATTGATGATTATTCACGGTATGGTTATGTATACCTATTAAGGTACAAATCTGAAGTATTTGAAAAGTTCAAAGAATTCAGAAATGAAGTAGAGAAACAAATTGGTCGTAGTATAGAAGTTCTTCGATCAGATCGAGGAGGTGAATATTTGACCAATGAGTTTCTTGATTATTTAAGAGATAATGGGATTATTTCACAGTGGACACCTCCTGGAACTCCACAACTCAATGGGGTTTCAGAAAGAAGGAATCGAACATTGTTGGACATGGTTCGATCAATGATGAGTTCCACTAGTTTACCTCTTTCATTCTGGGGCTATGCCTTAGAAACAGCAACACATATTTTGAATAGAGTGCTGAGTAAAGTTGTACCCAGCACACCTTATGAGATATGGTGTGGTAAAACACCCTCGTGCAAGTATATGAAAGTATGGGATTGTAATGCTTATGTGAAGCAGTTAGTGGGAGGTAAGTTGGATATGAGATCCATCTTATGTAAATCTGTGGGGTATCCAAAATAGTCTATTGGATACTATTTCTATGACCCCTCTGAACAAAAGGAGTTTGTTTCAAGGAATGTTGTTTTCTTAGAGGAAGAGTTTCTCTCAAAGAATAGCGGAGTCATAGAACTTAATGAAGAACCACAGAAAATTCCACAAAATGCCACAAATAACATACCAGTAGAGACTGGACCATCTGTAACACAAACTCTTCGGAGATCTGAAAGGATTTCTAGGGCGCCTGAGAGGCTATACCTATTGTTAGAGAACAATGAAGAGGGACTCCTTTTAGATAATGATCCAATAAGCTATGATGAGGCAATATCGGACATTGACTCAGATAAATGGCAAGAAGCTATGCAATCCGAGATAGACTCCATGTATTCAAACAAAGTATGGACTTTGGTTGATCCACCACAGGGTATAGTACCCATAGATTGTAAATGGGTTTACAAACAAAAACGTGGTGTAGATGGAGAAGTTATTATTTTTAAAGCAAGACTGGTTGCTAAAGGTTTACTCAAAAACAAGGTGTTGATTATAAGAAAACTTTTTCACCAGTAGCAATGCTTAAATCTATTCGGATATTGCTAGCCATAGCTGCGTATTATGACTTCGAGATATGGCAAATGGATGTGAAAACTGCTTTTCTTAATGGAAACATTAAGGAAGACATTTATATGAAGCAGCTGCAGGGTTTCATATCCAGTGGGAACGAACAAATGGTTTGTAAGCTTCAAAGGTCCATTTATGGACTTAAACAAGCTTCGAGGAGTTGGAACATTCGGTTTGATGAAACGATCAAAACGTTTGATTTTCATAAGAATCCGAATGAACCATGTGTTTATAAGAAGGTTAGTGGGAATGCAGTTGCATTTGTTGTTCTCTATGTTGATGACATCCTACTCATTGGGAATGATATAGGAATGTTACAATCAACATGGACATGGTTGTCTAAACAGTTCTCCATGAAAGATTGGCGAGAAGCATCTTTTATCCTAGGGATAAAAATCTATAGAGATAGATTTAAAAAGATGATCAGACTATCCCAGTCTACGTACATAAATAAGGTACTAAAAAGGTTTAGTATAGAAGAATCCAAACGTGGACATATTCCAATGAGTCATGGGGTTTCACTTTCTAAGACGATGTCTCCAAAGACACCTGAAGAAAGAGAACGTATGAGTCATATACCTTATGCATCAGCTATTGGTAGCATTATGTATGCAATGTTATATACAAGACCTGATGTGGCTTATGCACTTAGTGTTACGAGCAAATATCAGTCTAATCCAGGTGAAGAACACTGGAAAGTCGTTAAGATGATTCTTAAGTACTTGAGAAGGACTAAGGATGTCTTTATGGTGTATGGAAATGGAGAACTGAAGCTAGAAGGCTTTACTGATTCTGGTTTTCAGTCTGATAAAGATGACTTTAAATCCATGTCTGGTTACTTGTTTACTCTGAATGGAGCAGCAGTTAGTTGGAAAAGTTCCAAACAAGAAACGATTGTTGACTCTACAACAGAGGCTGAATGTATTGCTGCATCTGATGCTGCAAAGGAAGCTGTTTGGATAAGAAACTTCATCCAAGGGTTGGGTGTAGTACCATCTGTTATTGATCCAATAACGATTTATTGTGATAACAATGGGGCTATTGCGCAAGCAAAGGAGCCAAGATCTCATCAAAGATCCAAACACATTATGAGACGATACCATTTGATTAGAGAAATCATTGGTAGAGGGACGTCGTAATGGAGCGAGTCGACTCAGCAGAAAATATAGCAGATCCCTTAACTAAGCCTTTATCACAGAAAGTGTTCGAAGGACATCTTGAGAAGATGGGTCTAAGATACATGAGTGATTGGAAGTAGGGAAAGTGGGAGATTGTTAGAGTAGAATACCCGGCGTTCCAATCGGATTGGACGTATTCTACTTGTAAATACAATCTATTAGAATTATATTAAAAAAAATAAGGCATTACTTTATTTTAAGAGTAAGCATCTATCATATATTTGCACTTAAGATAAAATCCCTAGATCACTTATAGCTATAAGATATGGTTGCGCATAGAGATGGTGCTCATGGAACATATCTTGAAAGCTGTGATCTTAAATACAGTTCCAAGTCGTTGGATGTTTCGAGATGGGATATCGAATAAATCCGGAAAAGACTTGCATATAGTATGTATGC